CGGCTCAACATCGTGATGTCCGTCAGCTATCGGCAATGGACGGCCCAACCCTACTATACACACACACAAATATACATATATATAAACTTTGATGATGCATATCTTCAGCTCAGTTTGCAGTGCAGGCTGCAATATTAACAATATTACATTTTTTTTTGTTTCTCTTAGAAATGCATATTTGACAGTAGCTTGAGTTGACAGTAGTAGCTTGAGTTAGGATTAGGGGTGGGAATCTTTAGTCACCTCACGATCCGATCCGATTCCGATTCTGGGAGTCACGATCCGATTCCAGAACGATTCTTGATCTACTTTTTTCCCCCCTTATTAATTAATTAGTTTACCAACTTGAGAATTTTAAAATCCTTACATTTACATATCCTTACATAAGTAATTGAGTACTTTTTAAAATAATTACAAATTGAAAAAAATCATTAAAACAGTTGTATGTTAATAATAATTAATTAATTATTAATAATTAATAATGTAATTTTAAACTAATATAACTTCAAAACATACAAGCAAGTAGCAAATAATAAAGAGGAACATAGAAACATATTACAAACAACAAACTTTCATTATTTAAGATTATCTGAACGTTTTCCATTCAAGAACTGTGAGTGATTTTTCTTCATCTTTAATGTTGTTTTTTACTATGACATCACAGACATCTATTAAGCTACAATCACGCACTGAAGTAATATGGTTTGTCCTGTCCGTTTAATCCCTTGACACATAATTGGCTGTGTCTACATTAATTTTGCGTCATAAAACCATTTTGAGACGCAAGTGCATTAAACCACGTACACGGAGTCGGCCACAGTCGCATGCGCGAGCAGTCTTCACAAACAAAGCTGGCGTCAGCATTTGAAATTGAAAGCAGCCTTCTTTTAGTGAGGTTTATATTTTAAATATACAAGTCCACTGCATCTCAAACCACATAAATGATGACTTCGTAGAGCATTTGTAAGGAAAATACCGATGGGCGAGACCGCACACTTCAAGTGTAACCACAAACAGTAGCATCTGTAAAAATTGTAACAACCTTGTAACTTTGTATATTGTAACTTTGATTCTTATAACCTTATAGTCTATTTTTTTTTTTTTTTTTTTAAATATGTTTTTTTTTTTTTTT